TAGGCTCCACCATGGGTTGAAGCCCCACTGGGCTTGCAGAGCTTTGGTTTTTGGGATTTTGAGACCCTTCTGGGCCAGCTGTCCTGGATGCTGCTGATCCCTCCCCATCCTTGCCTGGGGACATGCTGGCCTGTTCTGCAGCCTGGGCAAGCAGAGCTGCCCCCTCCAGCCAGCCACATTTAGGTCTATTCTCACACCCCCGAGTCATTGCTCCAGTCCAGTGTTCCAGTCCAGTGTCGCTGCTCCTGACCCTGCATCCCTCTGGGAATGCCACTAGGGCAGCCCCTTGCCCTGCCCATAGAGGTGTCACCCCAGCCTCCCTGCACATGTCCCATGGCCTCGCTGTGTGTGGGCAGAGCTGGCTCAGCACCCCCACATTCCCGGGATGGTTGCTGTCAGTTCTGGGGGGGTTATGTAGGATTTTCCTTAGTGACACCTCCCTGGGATTGCACAGACACAGCCCCCACATCGCTGTATGGGCACCTCTGCTGCAGTTCCTTGCACTTCCTCTCCTGGCAGGGTCTGGGCTTGAGAGGTGTAGGTGAGCCTGCTTACTCCTTGTAGTAACACTGCATTCCAGGGCCGGAGTAAACTGTGGGTTTCCTTTCCAGCATCCCGAGCACCCTGATCCAGTTCTTGTGGCTGCTGACAGCTCCTGAACACTAGCCTAGATTTTCTCCCAGAGCTGAATGTTGCCCTCCCCACTGTCGTGTTAAGTACCCATTTCATCTTGGCCCTGTCCAGTAGTGTTCATCCCCTCCTCCCTGCTCTGTGGATTCCTGAGACAAACTTGATTTTTTTTTTGTATTGACCAGTGTACAGTGATGGAAACAAGAATGACTATCAAAGCAAACAATGCATGGAATAAAAAGCCAGTGTACTTCAATGCTGCAGGCTGGTCTGGTGATCTGGGAATGGGTTCTCACGGACTTTGGGATGATGTCATGAAGCCTTGCTCTGGGGTCTCCCATCTGCCCCATTCCATACCAGGAATGTTACTTTATCCTCCAAGTGGATCTCATGGAGAGCAAATACCAAAACCCCAAGAGCAGAGTGTCATCCCGGGGGGAGGAGGGTGCTGAGACCCTGGCACAGGCTGCCCAGAGAAGCTGTGGCTGCCCCTGGATCCCTGGAATGTCCCATGCCAGGCTGGATGGGGCTTAGAGCAACCTGGGATAGTGGAAGTGTCCCTGCCCATGACAGGGGGTCAAACAGGATGGACTTTAGGATCCCTTCCAACCCAAACCATTCTGGGATCCTATGTTCTTCACAGCTGGGACAGAGCCCACCTCTTTATTTGGAAACCTCCTAGTTACACAGGAGCAAATGTGTGGGTTTCAAGGTGCTTTTGAAGGACAAATCCCTGCCAGTCAGGCACATCCATTCCTGTTCTTTTCCCCTTTATTCTCTCTGGGGAGTAGCAGCCACTGGCAGACCAGAGAAGCTGTCTCAAGTGTTTGACATGACTGATTCACGTAGCTCAAATCCTGAGCATTTTGCTGCAGAGTGTGCTGGTTTAACATGGGAATCAAAGAAGAATCTTCTACAGCTGCACCCTGAAACACAATTATTTTCTCAACTCGGTGCTTGTACAGCTGCACTGGAGCACAGGAGCACATGGCTCATCATTTCAGGCCAAAAATGCTAAATCTGTCTGCAGTTGGAGGGAGCAGGGCCTGCCTACTGCCCGCAGGCTTGTGCTTGGCCAGTGATCCACAGCTGGGTTCTGGTTTGCCTTCCTCACAGGATGCCAATAGTCTTTTTATTCCCCACAGCCTCAGGCACACAGGAGACTGATTTAAATGAAACAGGCAAATAACTGAGTGTTCATAAAGCCCCTGTATCTCTCTCTCTGTGCAGATACATGCACAGATAAACATTCATTAAAAATAAGAACAGACACCTCCTCTGAGATGAGAAGGATGATTAAAAATTGCCACTGTCCTTAGTGGCACAGAGCATGCAGAATATAACCCCTATATAGGAAGAGAGTCCTGCAGCTTTTACCCCAAAACTGGGGCACCTAAGCAATCACAAGCTCTTTCTGCCATTTAGTGTCTGAGCTTGCTTGTCACCATCCAGCTTCAGGTGTTTCTTGCTGTATCTCTTGATGAGGGTCCCTGGAATCAGCGCTACCACAGCCATGGCCAGCAGCTTGAGCAGCGTGTCCCAGGAGAAGATGGCATCCAGAGAGGTGATTTGAGACAGAATGGCCCCTGTCTGCACACAGATGAAATTATATGGTGTAAGGCCTGAAGGAATCAGAGCAGAAAAAAGCTGTTAGTTCCCCCCTAGAGAGAATTAGCTAAATATGCCCAAAGCCAGACACAGTGCTCTGCCACCCTCCAGGGAAAGTTCTTCTTTATGCTGAGGTGGAACTCAGTGTTTTAATCTACAGCCATTACACAGACACTGGGGTTTGTGCTTTTAACAGAAAGAACGAGGTGTAAAGCAAAATTTGCAGCACTGGGGACACCTCCAGAATGCTCAAGGGCAGCAGAGAGGAAACAAACCAAGGGTCAGAGTCCCAACTCTGCCCTCCCTGGCTCAGTGATACCAAGAGCAGCAGTGTCACACTGTCCCCTCAGGCCGTGTTCCCAGGCCTTACCAATGAGAACGGAGAGAAAGAACTGGGACATGGGGATGTTTAAAATGGGAGCCGAGAGGTTCAGGAACCAGTTTGGTGTCATGGGGAACAGCCTCAGGAACAACAAGAAGAAAAATAAGCAGCTCCTGTTCTCTTCTACCTGCCAAAAGAAACGTTCCATATCATTCCTGCTCCTCAAACAGCAGTAACATTCAAATGGCCATAATACTGGAGTGAATTTTTCTTCTAACATGCCACAGTGTACCATCAGTTCAGAACTGAGGGAAAGCAGCAATCCTGTGTATGTCTGTATGGGAGCCTAATGGTGAGCCAGCCCTCTTCAAAGAAGGGGCGGAAAGGGGATCACACCGGAACGAAAGATCAGGAAGTCAAGAGCAGAACCACCTCCAGTGTACAACACAGCATGGGATGGATGGAGGCAGTTCTGGAGCACAGAAGTTCCCAAACCGTCCTTTATTTCATATCTGCTTTTCCTTAGGATCTAGGATTTTCCTGGCAGCCCCTTGGCCAACAGGTTTGCTCCAAGAGAGCAGTGTGCTCCTAGACCATGCCCTCAGCAGGCCTGACGCATCCCCTGCACAGACTGGTTTTCACTGTCACCCCAAGAGCAGCCTGGCCCAGGGCCATCGCAGGTGTCAGCAGAACTGCCAGCTCTTACCTTCCCTTGCAGCAGAGCCACCTTCTCAGGGAAGAAGTGGACTATGAGCTGCTTGCCAAAAGCTGCAGAGAGCAGGTAGCAGAGGGTGGCTCCCACAGACGTGAGCACTGAGCACAGAACCAGCCCCATCCATGGCCCAAAGAGTGCTCCAGCCAGGACATTCTGTGGGGACAACATGGAGTGAGACCTGGGGGACACGGTGTGTCACAGAACCACAGAACTGTTAGGGTTGGAAAGGGCCTCTGGAAATTATCCAGTCCAAATGCCCTGCCAAAGCAGGGTCACCGAGAGCAGGTGACACAGGAACAGGTGGGTTTGGGATGCCTCCAGAGAAGACTTTGCCCTCCCTTGGACAGCTGTTCACAGTGCTCTCCCACCCTCCATGGAAAGAAGTTCTTCCTCATATTGAGGTGAAACTTCTTGTTTTAGTTTATGGCCATTGCTCCTTATCCTATTGCGGGGCACCACAGAACAGAGTCTGGCACCATCCTCTGACATCCCTTGGAGCTATTTATATGCGTTAATGAGATCTGCTCTCAGTATTCTCCAGACTAACCATCTCTCATCAGAGAGATGCTCCAGCTACACCTCTCTGTGGCCTCCGCTGGACCTTCTCCACCTCGTCTCTCTTTTCCTGGGGAGCCCAGATCTGGACCTGGCACTCCCAGTGAGCTGTGCCTCACAGGGCTGGGCAGAGGGGCAGGGTCACTCCCTGACCTGCTGGCAACGCTCTGCCCGGGGCACTCCAGGACCCACTGACCTTCCTGGCCCTCAGGGCGCATTATCCACCAACACTCCCCGAGCCTTCCCAGCAGAGCTGCTCTCCAGCAGATCAACCCCGACCCGTATTAAGGGTGACTCCTGCTCAGCTGCGGGCCCGGTCGGTCCCTCCGGCTCCTCCTGCCCGATCCGTGCGTCCCCGGCCCCTCGCCCCGCGCCGCCCTCCCCGTACCAGGAGGCTGGAGCCGGGAATGGCGAAACTCTGCTTGTACAGGTACGCGCCGCAGAACAGGGCCAGCGCCGCGCCCCGGTGCTGTCGCTCGTAGTCCCGCAGCGCCTCGGCCAGATCCCGCAGCTCCTCCAGGTCCGCCGGGAACCGCAGCGCCCTGCGAGGGGAGAGACGCTCGGGCAGCCTCGGGGGAAGGGAGGGACGCACGGGCAACGCCGGCCGCCCACACCCACCTGCGCGTCTGCCCCGCGCTCAGCCGCACCGACAGCAGCCACAGCGCGGCCGTGGCGGCCGAGAAGACAAGCAGGAGCCCAGCCGGGCGCCGCCACATCCCGGGTCGCGGCCGCCGCTGCCGCCACCGCTGGACGGAGCCGAGCCGAGCCAAGCCCAGCCCAGCGAACCCGACCCCTCCCGGCCCGGCCCTGCCGCCCTCAGCGCGCCGAGCCGGGTGCGCAGGCGCGGGGCGGGGCCTCTGTAAGGGGCGGGGCCAGGCGGGTGTGAGGGGGCTGCGGGTGTTGGTGTGACTTGGTGGCACCTGCTGCTCACGAGGGCTCCTTGCTGGCTCAGCCGCGGACACATGCTTTGAACCCCTCTTTTAAAACCACGCTTTAAAGCCGTGTGCCGCCATGGTTTTATTGTCGCTCCCCCAGCCCCTTTATGCACTGCGTGGAGAGCGGGTGCCGCGGCTCGCTCCCCACAGAAGGCGCCCGGGGCCCAGCAGGTGAGTCCCACACGGCAGGGAGATGTCTGTCCGGGCACGGCATCCTCGGGACCCGGCTCCTGCTTCAGCATGGGATGGGCTTGAAGGTTTTCTGCGTGTTCTCAGTCAGGACCAGGTCGTACCGGCACAGCTGGGGTCTGTGTGAAAACACGGCCAAAAGTGAAAAAAAAAAATAGTGCTTTTTTCTGTCATCTCCCCACCTGCTGGAGGCCTACATAAAATAAGTCATTTTCTCAAGAGAACTGGCTCCAAGTCCACCTGAAGTGAGGTTGGCTTTAAGCCAGGGATACCTTGAGCATTTTACCATTCTGTTCTACGTTATCTTTTACTTGTGGAAAAAAAGAATCACAAAAAATCCAGCAAACAAACAGGCCCTGGCTGCAGAGTCTGTGGTTCCCTTTAAGCCAGTGCACACCTGTGTCCACCAAACAAGGTGGTCCTTCCAGCCCACCTGCCTGTTCCTGACCCTTCCCTGCTCCAGGCATGAGAAATTCTGCCACTGCTCTGACCTGGGTCCAAACACAGATCTGGCCTGGAGCTAGTTCAGCCAAAAAAACTGAGGAAGTACTTGGGCTTTCACTGGGGAAATATGAACATTAGCCCTGTGTAGTGGGTTGAGCAACAGGGAAGGGGAGAGGGCAGGACATCCGTCCTTGTGGCAGTGACTGATTAGATGATGTGCTGAAAGTCCTGAACTGTGTTTATGGCCTGTGGCAGCCCCTCCTCGGGGAGAGACAGCATCCTGTGATTAAATATTAGGGCATTTGTGTCTGCTTTTTAAAAGACTAAATGTGTATCTGGGACTGGAAGTGACTGTGGCAGTGTGGGACAGGAGACAGGGAGTGGCAGCAAGGGAGAGCTGCAGGACCTTGTTTAGTAGATATCCACAATCTTTTCCTTGTTCCAAGGCTAGGATAAGGGTAGCAGACCTCAGGAAAAGCAAAGAAACATGTTCTGCAGCTCTATATATCTGTTTGCTTCACCCTCCTGACCCTGTGATCTTCCAGCCCTGCTTTAAGCCACACTCAGAGCATGGTGTGGTGTCCACAGTGTCCTTGCACACAAGTCAGCACAAGAGATTCTGTACTTGCTGAGCTCAGGCAGAGCTCCCAGACTCCAGAGGTGGGAAGCTTCAGGGTAGGACAGCAGAGCAGACAGAGGCTAATGAGGTGATAGAAATCTCATCAGCAATGTCTTGAGAGGTACCCCCTGATGTTGTGGGTACCAGGCAGGGCTTTGGGGCAAAGCAGCCAGCAGCTCCCACTTGCTGGAGTTCCAGGAGTGAATTAATCTCCCTGCTTCACTAGCCATACAAATTGACTGGGATATAAAATGTGTATTTGGGGCTGAACATCTGTTCTTCCCAGAGGGCTGTATTTCCCTCCATCCTAGGGTTCAGGCCTGGGCAGCTTCCCAAAGGTAATTTTCCTGACCAAAGGTTAAGGTGTCAGGCCACGTCAGAGTCACATCACATGTGACATGTACCCAGTGCAATAAGACAGGCTCTGTGTTCAAGTAACTATTCAGCTGTGGGATTCCATTAAAGAGGAATTTATTCCCAAGACAGGTGTGTGTGAATTACTAAATGTAAAATAAATCTAATTCTTCTGCACATACTCAGCCAGGCCAGGAATCTGGGAGATTCCTTTACTTCTGTCCAGTCTGCACCAACAGAAATGGTTTGTTTGTAAACATCTGCTCACCTTTCTGGGTTTGTCAGTGAGTGGAACCTCATTTGGAGAATCCTGAGTTTGAATTTTGGGCCAATTACAGATCCCGTGGAAAATGTCAAGGAAATTCTTTCCACATTTTCAAGATCCTGGTCAAACCCAATGAGCAAAGTGATTTGTTTGTACTGCTGGAAGGTGGCAGCTTCTCTAAAGGTAAAGCAGACGAGAGAGTGTCAGTCACCAAGGGAATAGCACTGGGTTTAATGTAGTCACTGTAATATTAGGAACAGGCTGGGGGAGGAGGCCTGAGCTTCTGATTAGTTTCTGATTTACAGGAAATGGGTATGGATTCAGGTGGCAACCTGCTCAGCCATTTCTGCCCTCAGTTTTTTGAGGTAGAAGTGGGGAAACAGAGGCTGGATGCCATTTGGCCCAGAATTTTCACTGTGATTCTGCTTTGATCCCAAGTGGACTAGATCCACGTGATATTTGTACCTGGCTGTGTGTGCAGGCCTGAACACTGAGTCACTTCGAGATATGCATGAAATGTGCCCTGGCCTCGGTGTGGGATCCGTGCTGATTGCTCCCCTGCAGGCAGATACCAGATATGCCTGAGGGAATGTGCACTTAGAGAAACTTGGGAAAACTAGTTGTGCAGGTTTGGCTGGAGTGTAGTTCAGATCAATCAGGAATTTGCATGTCACATAAAGACCATTAATTTGTCTCTGTGAGTGGAATGAATTGATTTTGAATGTGACATATTCAGGCCCAGCTTAATCCCCAGCTGTCTTGGGCACTGGGAACTAGAACAGAACACTCCCTGTAAGAGGAAGGAAAGGGGGAGATGTTTTTCCTTCTGCTTTAGGCCAGCTGTGCTGCTGGCTGAGATTGTCCACTTCATTCCTTAAAATGACAGAGAAGGGCCCAAACCAAAAGGCTGGGCTGTCAGGGCTGTGTGCTGGGGGAGGCTGTGGAAATCTCTTCGGGCCAATAAATCCCATAGGGCCAGGAAATCCCATGTGCACTAGCAAGTATCAGCAGAGAAACTGGGGGAGGATGTGTCACCTCCTCCCAGATGCAGTTGTACCAAGGGATGCACTAACACTTCGAAAAGCTCAGACCAGTAAGACTTACGGATTAACTTTTGATTCTGCCTTCCTGCCATCTTCATCAGCTAGCACGATGCTGAAGGTGCCTCTCCTGGTGTCTTTGTTCCATGTGATAATGTCCACCAAGTAGTGATAGACTGAGGGGAGAGAGTGAGTGGGGTTAGACCCTGTGGGCTCAGTCTGCTGTCCAGGCTGTGCACTGTCTGGGAGCAGAGCTGTGAGTAGAAGATGGACACAGCCCCTGCAGTTTATCTCGAAAATCCCTCTGTCCTCTCTGCTCTCCATCTCCCTTTGCAGAGATTCCACCAGAAACACTAGGAGGTGTCAGGAGAGCACTGCAGCAAGGGCTGTCCCTGCAGGATGGCCTCTCTGTATGGTTCCCAGCACACTGCCTGCCTTCCCCCTTCACTTCCAGACTGTATTTCTTTCTTCAGTCCCCCTCTGAACCCTGCCATTTCTGTTCTTTGTATCTGTCATCTCTGTCACGGAGTAGAATTTTCTGTTCTTTGTTCTGTGAGTCTGACTTCACTTGCTGACCAGCATTGGAGCTCAGGCCATAATCCCAGCCCATGCCCTGGTATGTTGGTAATCACAGGGATGAGGTGAAACTTTTTACCTTGGTGCAACCTTTTTTCCCACAGATTCTCTTCCTCTCCCTGTGCCTCTCTTTTTTCCAGGGTAGCCTTTTCACCTGTACAGCCTGTCTTTCTCTCTTGTCATTCCCACATACCTCTTTCTTTCACAAAAGAATGGTGTGTTGCTTTGAAACATGATTTGGGAACTTTTATACTTAATTTGAAAGTTCTCAGCCAATTTTCTAGAACTGTAAGCAAGTTGGCTTTCCCAGCACTGGACAGGTTGGCAGATAAAGAAGGCTATGGCAAACCACAGATGGACACAATTCCATCCAGCAGCAACTGGAGTTTCTAAAATGCTGGCTTAACACCACCAGCAAATAACTATCTCTGCTTGGCTGCTGCTGATAGAGGCAGTGCACAAAGAAAAATAATCTCAGAAATCTCAGTCACTTACTGCAGAATGGCTCTTTGTCCGCTGTGTCGAAAAACATACTTGTCACTGGATGGCTCTGTTGTGTTAAATAGCTTTTCCACTCATAGGCATAATAACCTGCAGGTGACAGTTTGAAAATTAAACCAAGTTATTGCACAGGTAGATGAGCCGCTAAATGGCTGAAAATAAGCAAGTATTTAAGAAATAGTGCATTGTGTGCCAGCTGCCAAGTAGCACTGACACACATCCTCCTGCACCCCAAAGGCTTAGCACTGAATATGCCTGGTTACTGTTCAGCACTTTCTTCAAGCTGATCTTTTTCCACATCTGCTATCCATGGTCAAGGGTTTCATTTTGTAGTGCAGAATGAGAATCATCCCCTTGGCTTTGCCAGTTCCTTTCTGGAAGCGTCAGGTGTTTTAGCATCAACATTTCAGAGCTGCCAGACTGAGGCTGGGCTGTCACACTCAGGCTGGGGTAGACGAGTCCAGAATTCCCTTTGTTCACCCATTTGCCATTCCTTTTAGAGCACAGAGGGATTTGTGATGCTGGGAATTTAATTGTAAGTCTTATTTTAGCAAGAACAGGCCCCTGTCCCTCAAACTCTGCAACTGAGGGACTTAAACTCACTGTTTCTCTGACTTTAGTGTAAAGATCCCAATTTTAATTTTGGGTTTACTAGTTCTGGACCCTATACTCGTGGATTTCTGTTCTAGATCATAACATGATGTCATATTACAAGGAACAGGCTAGATACCTCGAACATCTCAGTGGAAATAACTTTATTTATGTTATGTTAGTCCTCCAGCAAAACATCACCCTCCGAGTTATAGTGCCGCCAGGCAGCTCTGGGTTCAGGATGGACTGACATTCCCTGGATCCTTACCTAGGATGGGGCATGGCATGGGCCAGAAGGGTTCACAGCTGGTGCATTTGCCATTCCTGTAGTTCCTGTACGAGTTGCAGGGGTATGTGGTGATATTGCAGCTCTGTGTCAGGGAGGACAGGAACAGGAAAACAGACCTCTGGTGGTCACATTTAAAATACTGCAATCCTTAATCATGTACAGGAAAGAAATATCTCATTAGCAATCCTCGTGCCTCAGGACACACCAGTGGACATTTGTGTCTGAACCCAACAATTTGCACTGGGGAGCACTGGGCTGTGGCACAACAGTAGGTGGGCAGCAGCTTCTCCCTTTGAGTGCACTCAGCTCTGCCTGTGTCTGCTTTGCTTTTCCTCTTGTCTTTTTGGTTTTAAAAACATTTATTTGTGTGATTGCTGCAGTTCCAGAGGATCTAACTATGGATCAAGTTCTGACTCTGGTGTTCTCTCCTCTCTGAGCTCAGGCCTGACAGCTGGATATTGCTTTTAGCTTTGCACATGACTTTCCATTTTGGTAAAAAACTCTTTAGAAAGACATAACTAATAAAATGAGTTGTTGCATGAGCAGCAAAATCAGTGAAACCTCATTTCCTAGGGATTTTTAGCTCAGGCTGCTCTCCTATGTAGATTCTCTTGGGTCTGATAAGGGTTGAATTCACAATACTGCATTTTCTTCTGTAATGTATCTTCTTCACCCACCTTTCATCAAACCAGTTCTGCTGCCAGGCTGAAAGGAAAAAAAAGCTTTCTTTTGTTCAAGATTAGGGCTGTTCCTTCCAGACTGCACCTTCTGTCACCGCCAAGGAAGGTGTCTTTGATTTGGGATAACTGCCTGCTCCACATTCATCTTGGACCTGTTTTCTGAACAGGTCCTTCCCACTGCTAGTCCTTGGGCTTTCGTGTGTTACAAGTAATTAGAAACAAAAAATGCCATGGATTTTCTGGACATAGCCACAAAACAAAGGCACACATCTGTCTGATAACTTTTAGCACAGAGGATTAGTCTCACTTGCACTGTGACAGAGGCACAGAGAGGTCACCCTGACTCTCATCTCTGCCTGTTGCACATCAGCTAAACCCCTGTCACGCCAGTGCTGAGAAGAAATTGCTGCCATGGGTTTCCCAGAATATGGATTTCATGTATTTTCTGAGCAGTGATGATGATTCTCTGGCTTTCTCCTCTTTTTCTGATTGGAAACATTTTGTCAGGGTTTGTGCAATTCAGGGCAGGATTAATTACCAGAAAAGAGTGTCAGTGGACAGCCTGGTTGGTCGGTCCCGCCGTTGGGATAGAAGTCGACATGGCCCAGTGCTTCTCCATAACCCAGTCCTAGCAAAAGGGAATACCAGGGCTCAGGGTGGGAGCATTAAACTGTAAAATGCACAAGAAGGAAATATAGCAACCTAACTGGAAAAAATAGTAGTTATTTAGCTCTTGGATGCCTGCTTGTACAGGAATACTAATGTTGTCCCTCTGTTTAGGCAGAAGGCCAAACAGTTGTGACCCAGCTGGGTTATTTTAACAATGGTATCAACTACCTAAAATAAGTCTTTGCATGCAACAGTACAAAATGTGAGGGTTTGTGTCACTTGTGTGCAGGAGAGGAGGAATGATGTGAAACCTGGATGTTGCTGTGCTGCTGAAATCTGACTTCCTGGAAAGGCTGGGAGAAGAGAGGCAGCAATTAGGTGGGAAAGCCAAGTGTTAGGGGTAGGGTGGCCATGGGAGCAGCATGGGGGGCTTGGCATTGCACTGCTGGCCTGGCTGGTGGGTCTGGAAAAGGACAGGGCTGAGAGAGAGTCCAGATTTGTCCTAGAGGAAAGTCTAGCTCTTAAGAGGTGGGATGGAGACTGGAAGCATCCTGCAGGGAAACATGGTTGGGGATAATTGATTTGCTGTGCATGTCACTGGGCTGTGGGACCAGTTCTGGAAATGCTGTGTGCTCAGATGCAGCCTGACCCCGTGGTGGCATGTTGGTGTGTCCTGCTCTGGCAGGACTGTGCTGCAGGACCTCCTCCACTAGTAGCTAAGTCCTTGTAAGTCATGGGCCAGGTTATCACTGCTGTGTCAGCAGCATGTTTTGAGTGCAAATAAACCAGCAGCTCCTGAGGGAGTGCTGGGGACAGCGTGGGCAGCACAGCACCCCGGAGGTTCAGTGAAGAGCGAGGACCCCCAGCGCTGCTGCCCACCAGCAGCCCCCCTTCGCCTCCTCCCAGTCAGTCTCTGGGTTTCTGTGTACAGGAGGGGGATGGAACGTCACCTACCGTCGGTGTCGGAGTGAATGACATCCACAAACTGTGCGTCCGTGGGGTCCAGCCTCTCGCTCGGCGCCGCGCCCCTGTACAAGGGGCCCGCGGGGTCAAGGCCTGCAGCACAAAGCCATGGGTGTGGCAGCGCCTCGCTGCCCTTCCTCGGGGCAGGAGGACTGCTGGAGGAGGGCTTACCTGTGATTCTTCCCAGTGTGCCGTCAAACAGCTGTCCCACGAAGCCAGAGATGTGTGCTCCCAGGCTCACTCCTATCATGTGCATGGAGTCAAGGGATGCTCCTTCAATCTGAGGTGTAAAAGTACTCATGGTCATGTGTTTTTGGAAAATTAAAAAAATTAGGAGGAGGAATGTGACATTCCCAGTGTTCCACTCTGTGTAGATATTTCTCTTTTGACCATGCCACAGGGCAGCCAACATTCCTGTTTGAGACCTATACCTCAGAAAGCTGTGATGAGAACAGTTCAGGAAATGGTTGTATTTTCCTGGGGCAACGACTACAAGTGTGGACAGGAACCACTGATGGGCCCCAGAAGTAAAATTCCAGTTGCTCCACGTGTGATTCTTGCAAGGAATTAGCAGACACTATGATCCTAAAGGATCCAACATCATCATTGCCTGTGCAATACCTTAGAGGAGCTGTGAAATGTAGCTGATCCCCTTAAGCTCCCTATGGATATACAGAAAGTAGAAGTAGAGCTGCTGTGTATGGGAAAACATGTCTGGAGAGCTTTGTACCCAAAAATGTAGAGACTTAGAGTGCAAACTGAATATTACACCAAAATACCATTGTACCAAATCCAAGGGTAGGATTTGGCACTGCAATACACATGCACTTCCAAAAATTAATGTATTCCTTTTTTAGGAGTTTCTATTCCTAGACTTCCTGCTGGTTTAAGCGCTTCCTTTGTGCCCTTTACATACTGTGCCTTAATGACTGTATCATAACATGAGCATCCAACTTACCAACATTTCATCTATAAGTTTCTTCAGAATCTCAGCAACTCTTTTGCACTTCCTGGAAGCATAGCTGTAGATGAGAGTTGTTGCCCCCTGGTTCCAGTCCACAACAATGACGTTCATGTCCTCTACAGAAAGCAGGAGATGCACCAGGGCAGGGATCCAGACCGGGGCAGAGCCCGTGAATCGGTACCCGTGGACGATGAAGGTCGTTTTCTTGGTCACATTGAGGTACTTGGAGGCTGTTGAGTGGAGCTCCTCGGCACAGGTTGGATTCTGCCGGGTGTAGAGCAGCAGCTTCACTTTCAGATCTGTCCCTATCAAAGCATTCCCGAAGCTGAGGGCTGTGAATGCAGGACATGTCTCCTGAGGATCTGAAAGGAGCAGAGTGGCAATTGGAGTTTGGCACCAAGGGGTTTTCTTTAGCCTGTTGTACCTGCCAACCCCGCACAGGGCAGGAAACTCTGTGGTGAGTTGTCTGAGCACAGGGGCTGCTCCTGTCTCCTCTCTCCCTCTCCACTCTCTCATGCTCATGACTGAGGTTACCTTGGAACTTAGGTTTTCTTGCTGTGTTGGAACAAAAAGAGCAATAACACCTTTTTGGAGCAGCATTCCCTGAAACACCACAGCCCTGCTTCCTGTGGCAGCTGGGAGTTGGCAGGGACTCCGTCCAAAAATCTCACTGGTGTGAGGAAGGTATTAAGAGACCCTCAGGTGGGATGGTTACTGTACTGGTTTGGGAGCACACCCAGGTGCTCTGGACAGGTTCTGTGTGGTAGTCACATACTCTTTGAACACCGAGAGACATAATTCTTTCTCCTCCAGGATTTTTCCTGGGGAAGGCAGTGAGAAAGCTCAGAGAGAGAAGAGAAAACAATTCTTATCTCTACTTGCTGTGCCGGGTGATTGGCACATGTGGAATGTGTTATGGAGATTGTTTACCGAAGAAGGGGTTTGTTAATTGGACTCTGGTGATGGTTGTTTGGATTGATTGACCAATTAGGTCAAAGCTGTGTTGTGACTGTCTGTAAGGGGTCATGGGTTTTTCTTTAGTACAGAGTTTAGTATAGCATTAGTATAGTATGTAATGTAATATAGTATAGCTTCATAAAGCAATTGAACAGCCTTCTGAATCACTGGATCACTGCACGTTATTCCCCGGCTGGGGATCGTCCTGCATCGATATGTTCTCAGCTAAACAGGTGTCCTTGGGGTTGGTTTGTACCTTGGGCCTGGAGCTGCCAAGCTGCAGAGTCTTGCCGTGGGCAGGGGCAGCTCAGTGCTTCATTTGTATGTGCAGATGTAGCCTGGTATTCCAGACTGCAAAATGGGGCACCCTTGGGTCTGTGAGATGGTAATTGTGCTTTATACACAGCTGAAGTGTAACTGAATTTTATGTAAGTATTGCTTGATGGGATGGCCTGTGCCATTGGAAAGCTTGCCTTTGTTCTTTGCTTTTCCAGCAGAACACCAGCTGAACCTTCAGAGCCCAATACAGTCTCCAGCAGGGCACTGGCAGGGAATAGAATAACTGTCTCCAGACAGACACTACTTATGAAGGCCCTCACAGGTTTAGTAGCCTCTTCCTGGCTCACAATCCTTTCCCTCAAATCCTCATAATCTTATTGAAGAACCTTGTGGGGGAAAGTGTCTCTCTCACACATATGTCCTGGGCTGCAGTAATTGTTCAGGCTACAGTTCCTAGAGGAATTTCCCTGATCTTTGTTGCTTAAAGGACTGTTCGGTAGGTAGCAGGGTTTAGAAAACCTGCAGCTGTAAGTTAATTATGCTCTAGCAAATCTCCAATGCTCTGTGCATTTTAATTTCTGAATGATGAAACTGTCACAGTTTCTATGAGCAACTTTCCCTTTTCTCCTCCTCAGGAAATCAGGAGCATGAGAGTGATATAAATGCTATGTGCCCAGCACATAAAACAATCCTCTCAGTTGCCACAGTTCTGCTAATTACTTTGTAGAAGCCCCAGGAGCTCTAGAAATAAAAGTTAATAGGCTAAAAGGATGTTGCAGTTAAGTCCAACTGAATATTTTTAATTGCTACCATAAATTCAGAAATAAAATTTAACATCTGAAATCCATGGAGTCCTTCCTGTTTAAAGCCTATGATAACATATGAATGGTGTGACAGGACTGGTGGGAAATGAGCCCCCAGCCAGGCCCAGTGAAATCAGAGACCTTTGAATGCAGGGTGTCCTGCCTGTGCAATGCTTCACTCAGAGCTCCCAGGAGCTCTGTGACTCTGGGCCCTGCTCCCAGGAGGAAAGGTGACCTGGGTGGCTGCCTCCTGCCAGCCTGCTCTCAGTGCCAAGATGCTCTGTAAGAAAGCTCTGTAAGAATCTGCAGCAAGAGTTCTGTGACACTGCTCTTGTCGAGATCCCAAGGTAACTAGCAGAGAAAAATTAACATTTTTTGCTCATGCGTACCAGCTCACACAGTGAGACTCAGTGACTGTCCTCTAGGTGCTACTGCAGCACAAAAAAATACAACTGTGTGTTTTACTAATAACTAGGCATTGTTTTAGTTATTGTATAGTAGCACTATATAGTGTTGTTAATTATCTTTACTGCTACTGAAGCTGTAGCAATACAGGCAGAAATGCCAGGCAGAAATTACTTCTATATGGTGCAAGATTGCACTGATTGCTTAATTTGTTTCTGTATCTCCTACACTGTGCTGAGGCTTGCCCAGAGGAGCACTATGTTTGTCATCAGAACAGCCCAAACCTTCTGGTACAGAAGTGCTTTCAGAGAGCTGGTCAGCATTTGCTGATACCTAACACGGGGACTGTGTAAAGAGCCTTGTTTTATCTGTACCAGGTCTGTTAGATTGGTTCTGTTTTGATTAACAAAATCAAATCAGTGCTAATAAGGGGAGGAAACCTGCCAGCTTCTCTTCTGGCAAGCATGGTGCCAATGCCAGCCTCATCCACCATGTGTTCAAAAACTGACACATGGAGAGGGCCAGTTAACCTGGCTTTGCTCTTCCTTCTGCTGAGCACAGTGCCTCCTACCCAAATGCCTGGAAGTGTCTTTGAAACTCAGGATGACTGGGGCAGGTGGCTTAGTGAGATTTACTCTGCAAGCAAATAAATGAGGTAGAAACTTATCCCCTGGCACTGTACTTAACCCCTGTCCAACAGGTCACCTCCCTCCAGTAAAGGGGAATGAACATGGCCATTAACCCAGCATCCCAGTACCCTGCCTTAGCTCACTAATGGCAATCCCCATTCTCCTTCTGTTCTGTTTTCTGATATGTGAAATAGGAGGCAAACAGTGGTTTGCTGGGCACGATGTTCTAATCTCTCAGAACCTTCAGCAGGGAGCATAAAAATATGTTAAATCCATGTACCTGCCAGGGAGCTGGACACATTTGGTCTCGAGCCTGAGATCAGCCTCCAAGGTGCTATTGCAGCAGTGGAAGCATCTTCAGAATAACTTGGTTCTGAAGTTATATACATATAGATATATGTTCTGAAGTTAGGTAGTCCCAGGTGGGAGTGTTGCAGGGAGTGGAACAGTCCCCAGGCAGGCTCCTGGTATTTACTGCAGTCAGTGCTCTTCAGGCCTGCATTCCCCTGGTGTGTCTCATTCCTTTCTAGGAGATGGTGTTTGGAGGCTTTCTCTTTGGTGTTGATCCTATGGACAGGCAGGGTTTGCCATGGTGGCCTTCTGGGGCTGTGGTACCGAGCTGTCTGCATGAATAAAGTAGCAGCTGAGGTTTTTACCAGCCTGTCCTCTTGGAAAGGCAAGTTCCAACAGATCACCTCAGTGGGTCAGTGGCCACTTGGCTGGATGTGTGGCTGTCCCAGCTGTGGTCCTTGGGACACAGAGCTGCTTGCTCCACTGGATGGAGCTCAGCTGAGCGTGTCACTGCTTCTCTGTCTGCAGGAGCTCTGGCCCACCATCCCCTGCCACCTTGCCTGAGCTTTGTGCAGTGAGTGTCATCAGACTGGTCTTAACCATCAACAATATCTTTCCCCCTTTAAGCACACTTGACTACCACACCATGAATCTCGAGAGCATTAGTGGTGCAGATTTCCATCGCTTTTCCACAGAGAGAGTGTGCCCTCCACTCCTAAACTGGTCCTCAATAGCTCACTGCATTTCACTGGTGCCTTTTCACACCGTTCTCTTTTCCTGCTTCTCGTGACTGCATTTCTTACAGTTTTAACCAAACAAACCAAGCAAAAGGCGACCCTGAGATTACTCCAGATGAATGAAACCCAATGAAACACAAGTTAGTATTTTTAAGAACATTGTTTTTTTAGTCCTGTTTGTTTTCCCTACAAAGCAGAGAGCTGTAACTTGCCTTGCTCCCATGTGTATGCTAACACAAGGCAGTACATTTGTTTATTGTTACACAGGTTTGTTCTTGTAGGGCTGTGAGGCTATCAAATGGAGCTTACTGTTCATAAATGGTAATTCATCCTTTGCCTCTGCCATACATGATACCCCTGAGAAGAAATCATTATTCTCTGAAGATTTCAAATGACGTTTTCAGTGTCGATGGATAGTGCTTATATAAGAGAAATGTTTGCAAAGGGAGGAAAAGATAATAAAAAATAGTTCTGGTTTTCCATTTGGAACTCTTAGATCTGACTACATTCATGTAACCAGAATAATTTGCTTTGCCAAAATAAATAATGCTAGTGAGAAATCCTGTGCAGTAACTGTAAATGCAGAGGGCAGGTACATTCATGTTGCTGTAAAACACAGAAAATGTGTTATATTTGACAAAAACATTCAAAACAAATGGTTGAGTTCTTACCTGTTTTCACCCCATACAAAAGGCAGATGAACACAACACACAGCCTCAGCATATGGACTTCCACATGGAACTTCTACGGGTAAGAGATTTGAAGGATCCCACAATTTCTCTAGCATGTGTCGGCTGGCTCTGACAGCAGTTTGCTTGCTTTTTTTTTTCTGCCAGTAACAGTAGGTGTGGTAAAAGGAGGAAGTTGCCAGCCAAGAAATGAAGACCAGTCAAATGAAGCTTCTTCTTAAGAAGGTGGGGCACCTTCTATTCTAGCAGGTTTCATTAATTTAAATATAGTTTGCCGTGGGGGATGACTAATCAAAGACACAAATGGGTTGGTAGCTGTAAGCAGCAATTTGACTACACGTGTTGAAACTAAGGAAATTATTGCCTATTTGTCTTTTGCAAAGAATGTCAGGAAGATTGTAGGTGTCACTGCAAGTCTGATAAGCATCTGGGTGGGGCCGGTGCTTGGTTTCACAGGGCCCTGCCTTTGGAGATGTCATGATGATCCCTAATATCTCCCATGTCCTTCCTGCTCTCCTGAGAGCCATGGCCCAGAGTCCCTTCTAGAAATCCTGTCACCACCTCAGGCAGGAGACAGGTGCACAGCACTGTGTGGTGACAAAGGGAAAGTACCACTTCAAGGTGTCTGGCTCTCCACTGGGCTCCCAAGCAACTGCTGTCTTGGATAACACTCATACAACTGGCATTCCCACATTTTCTCATGGACCTGCTGGAACCTCATAAATTCAGCTCTAATTCAAGTAAGGAAGCCTTTTTTTTTTTTTTGCTGGATGGGAGGAAGGAGATTGCCAAGGAAAGACAACTAGCCGGGGCAGGAAAGGAGGTCTGAAATTGGAACTGGAAGGTATAATGGTAAAATTGGGAAAACAAGGGTGTTGGGGAGTTTGTAAAGGGATGAGAAGGGAGGGAGCAGGGATGGCTGCTGGATAGAAGTAGGGTGGTAGTTTTGCTTGGCATTTTCTTAGCAAATTCTTCTAACATAGGCCAGGAAAAGGGAACATGGGGTGGATTAGAAATATCTGATTAAGCCCAGGCTCTGCTTTCTTTCCCTTGGTGATGATCCAATGAGGAGCTGAACTATTACAGCTCCCAGCGGCATAGCTGGTTCTTTGGTCCATGCGGTACTTATTAAGCTTTTTGACTTTGCTAATTCTCAGGTTAATCCTTAACTCTTCCTGCTGCTTGCAGCTCCTTTTCCTTCAGACAAGTGTGTGTGATGCTCCTCTGGTGCAGGCATGGATCACACTTGAGGCAGAGCATGTGTCTAGCATGATTGTTTCACAAGCACCTTGAGCTCTTCAGCCTCAAGCAGCTCAGCAATCTGAGTCTCACTGAACATGTACCATGCTGTGATCCCATTTGATAATTACCCAGGAAAAAGTTGGGGCTTGTTATTTTGAAGAAAATCAACACTGAGAAAAGACACCAAATAGCATTTGTGGATCTGGAAGTTCAGGACAGTATTTTTTCTGCTGTACTGACAAAAGAATATAATTTAAACATTGTTTTCCATCCAGCTCCTTTCTCACCTCTACCAGTGATCCTAAAATCTGTCCAAATATTTTCCCTTAGCAAGAAGTTCTGCCAGTGGTGAGACGGAATTGGTCCAACAGTGAAACACAAAGAACAGAAGGCTTTTACCTGTTGCAAAAGACATCTGAGATAAAATAAGGTCCTTGAGGGCCTTGCCTTTCATTTCAATACGAAGAGGTAACAATGTGTTGCCTAAAGCTAAGCCCTACTAATTTCTTCTCCCCGTCACTTTTTTTAAATTTTAATTTCCCATCTGAGGTTGCTCATCTGAGTGACTCGCACGACAAGAGGCCCTACACTGGGACTGGCAGGTTCTTCCTTGGAGCTCTCAACCATCCCTTGGAACACCATGATTTTGAGTAACCACCATTTCAGCATAAATTAGACTGTCTGTTCACTGTACACATTGGCAAACATTCCCAGGATGTCAGCACTGGAAATGCTGTCCACCACCACCATCAGATCCTGAGAGCAGGAATTCAAGTGCTTACAGGTTACTCCCTGCTCTTGATTCTGCTGACCAACCTTTCACACCTGCCCCACACATCCTGTCTCAGCCACACACTTGTTAAAGATGGCAACAACTCACAGCTATTTGAGTGTTGCACACTGAACTCTAAGACAATAATCCCACTGTGAGCTTTGAAACCAATTGCAATTTGAGACAGTAAAAACTTTTTAATCATGTGTAGAAAACGTTTAAGATCAGAATTGGCACCAACTTAAGAACAATTTAACAGAAAACATGAAATAATCTTAGAAGCATGAAACATTTTGCACTTGGCTCTGAGATGTTAGAGCCTCTGCTATTTCACATTCAAGAAAGAAGCATTTAAAACTCTTCATTGTGAGCAGAACCACTGTTGGAATCTGAAAGTTTCCAGAATGTTGTTTCCTCCTTGGGGCAGCTTATGACAGCAATGGTCAGCCAAAAAATATTTTTATGTTGCATTCATGTATCCACTGTATGAAATCCCACTGATTCACTAATTTCCCGTGGGTGGAACGTTTTCATGGAGATACTGGAGAGCCAAATCTGTCCACTTCATTTCTTGCTCTTTCACAGACTCAGTGGTGCCACCGTTGTCTTGCTCTGGTTCAGGGAGCTCATTCTGAGAACAAAACACAGGTAGAATGCATTCCACATGTAATACACTTTCTGCAAGCAGCAGGTTGTTCTATTTGCATGGATAGATACAAAACCCCACAAACGAGACCAGAGGGTGCATCTGAACAATAAATCTCATACATACTGATCCACTTAAAAATATTGCTGAGCCCTGTCATGAACAGTATTCTTTTCATTTGAATATGGTGCTTAATCTGAAAGGTAAATTGTTTTCCAGGACCCCGGGGCCTTGCTATACACTCAGATTGCACATGCAGTGAGGGAGAATATACAGCAAATGCAAAGTAAGTAAATAACAGTACAATGCAATTATTCCACTGTTTGTTTGCAATGTGCTGCTTCTGCTGTTGCCAAGAATACAAATACTGCAGACAGCTGGTTCTGTAAAATGTTACTTTCCTATGGCAGATGAGAAGTCCTTCCTGTCTGTATGCTGGACTCAGGTGTAGCTGTGCTGGATCAACATTAGAAGCCAGAACCCCCTGCCAGGTGTGCCACAAAGCTGCTCACAGCACAGTAAGGGGAAGGAAAGTTTAACTGAGATTTCATTTTCCTTCCTTTATTTGTTCTCTGTCTTGCTGTATTGGTGTAGTCACACTGAGTGTGTGCTGTTCTGCCACATACCATTTGGGCAGGAATTCTGAGTTCTAGACCTCTGGAAATCCCAGCAGGAGCTAAATAAAATGTTTCAGCTTTGAAAACAACAAATGATCTGAACCCATTTGAGTTCCCAGAAATGTCTCAAGTGAGCACTGGAGCAGACTCTCAACACAGGCTCAAACACCACTTTCACAGCCATTCTGGTTGCTTCTTTGCCATGTCCCTGAGTAAGTCCCCTGTGAATTCATGCTGGTTTTTCTATGTGATCAGAGCCAATCCCATCTCTGGGGATCTTTATATCCACAGCCAGGCCTTTCTTTCTATTGGTAGTTGGTGAGGCTTCCTTCTCTGAGGCTGTCATCTGTATGTGACTGTAAGCCATCATGAGATGGCTCTAAGGGAAGAAACAGTAATGTTTGACTCAGGGTGAAGGCAGTAGTCAGCAAGGAACCTGTTTGTGGTACTCAGCTTGCCTAATAAAGGTTATTCCAAGCAAAGGAGGGTTTGGGCTCTTTTAGCTGAGACTCACACTTCTGCAAGATGCTTCCCTCAAGCCCAACTCTTGGTAGGAAAGTATGCGCTGGACATACGGATTTTGAGTTGGGCAGCTGCTCCTCACTCTCTCTGAAAAGCCAGTGGTGGCAGGGCTAAAGCTTGAACCATGTCACAAATTTGGAATGTCTCTCTGCTGAAAGAAACCAGCACCCCACAATCTCCATGGCTGCTTTATCTGTGCTAGCTGGGATAAAGCTCGTGTACGAGACAGAAAAAGAGAAGGGAAAATCCTCAGCTACCTCCAACTTCCCTGGAAGTTTCAAAATAGCTAAGGAAAGGTGTGTCATTGTGGGAGATCTGAAGTTTCAGCTGTGGACTCTGTGGGATCAGCAGTAGCTTTTCCCCTGCTGCCCCTCTCCAGCCTTGCAGCTGGATGAAAGGAGAGGTGCCATGCCTCGGACACAGCACTGCAGGCAAGAGTCCTGCTGCACCTGCCAGTCCTTCACTGCTGTCCTGGAACTGCCAACAGAACACTGTATCTGGAAAAGACTGCTTTGAAACATGTATGAAAACGTCTCAGCTTCTTTCAATAGCCTTGCAGGAAGTGGAAATAAGGAGTAACCAAGACTGGAACTGTCAGTGAGACTGATCCTCTGCTCTCCAAACCAGGAAGTGGAAATAAGGAGTAACCAAGACTGGAACTGTGAGACTGATCCTCTGCTCTCCAAATCAACCAGGAAAGTACCTCAAACACCAAGAACAAAAAAGGGAAGCAGAGAGAAAGGATGATTCTACTTCTCCCTGATGCCAAACCCAGGACAGTGCAGTGGGAAGGGCACTCCAGTTCTGAGAGGTCAGGGGATGAGGGACAGAAGCATCCATGTCCTCATGCACTCAGGAATGACTGGCATATAGGGCAAGGAAGGAGTCAGATCCAGGAGCCTCTTGTACAAATTAGCTGCACCACGAGCAACACTCTGTGCCTTTTCTTGGAAGGCACTGTGACCAACACAGCAGCCTTAACTCAGATTGATAAGCAGCAATTCACCTACCAGAGGGATGGCCACGTCCTCATAGGGCAATTTATCTTCTCTCCACGCATCATCGATCAGATCCAGGATCCTGCCATCCCTCTGCACCTCGCTGTCCATCCTCACAGCGGGCGAGAGCAGCTAAACCTGTGACACAAAGCAGATGCTGCTTTAATAACATCCCCAGCCAAGGAGCTGGAGTCTGGACTGTGCTCCAGTTTTAATGCAATCCATATGAAGTTTAAACTTACAAGGATACCTTGATTTCCCTAATCACTCAAAAAGGGGTTATAACCACAGAGAAGAACTTAATGTGAAAAGAACTCTATAAAAATGAATTGCAGATTGATATGCATCAGAGATGAATATATAAAACCAGCTGGTTATTATTAATGATATTTACATGTGTTTATATCTACCTACTGACTTTCAGAAGTCTAATTTGAGTGAGTTTGAACACCTAGAGTGCCCAGAACCCTTTGCCGCGTGCTGGCTTACAGCCCCTGACCAGTGCCGTGCCTCACTGCCTCCTTCGCATGTCTGGGAGAGTCACAACAAAGGACTTTAAGGTAGCCAGAACTCTGCCCGAACCTGAAGTCCAGCAAACCGGTGAAACAGAAGCAAAACGAGACCTATCTTTCACCCCCAGCTCCTATAATTACTCCAGAGTGTTTAACTGTACTGTGCCCTCCTGGAAGGGCCACGCCAGGCCCTCGCCCCGGTGTTCCCTGCGGGGCAGCAGCAGCAGGCAGCTGGAGTGAGATAACTGACACTCATTCAGCACCGAGCCAGGCCTGGCACTCGCCGGCTGCCGGAGCCGCGATATGGGCGGCGATGGGCACGGGGCTGAGCGCATCCCAGCCGCGGCGCGCGGCGATCCCTGCCTCTCCCGGCCACGGCGGCTCCGTGACCGCCCGTGCCCCGCGGTGCGCCCCCGCTGTCCCGCGGTGCGCCCCGCTGTCCCCGCGCTCCCCAGCCCGCCCTACCCTGCCCATCTCCGGGGCCCGTGCTGCGCAGGCGCCGCCTCAGCGCATGCGCAACGCTGCGCCGCGGGGCCGGACCGTGCCCGCCGGCAGGGTGGGAAAGGCGGGAAGGAGGGAGGGAAGGAAGGAAGCAGGGCAGGCAGGAAGGAAGGAAGGAAGGAAACAAGCAAGGGAGCAGGGCGGCCGGCCAGAGCTGGGGTGTCGGGCAGCCCGGAGCGGAGCTCGGCCCGGGGGCTCAGGGCTGGTTCCCGGGGCGCGGCGCTGGAAGGGCCCGGGCAGCGGGCGGCTGCGGCCGGGAGCAGCGGGAGGGGGAGTGCCTGCCGGAGGCGGCTCCGGCGGCTGCAGCGGGGAGCGCTGCCCGGGCACGACGGCCACTTCACAGACGTAAGCTGCACGGGGCAGCTTTGGGTTGGACATTAGGAGGAATTCCTTCACAAAAGGGCTGATTAGATATGGGAAGGGTCTGCCCACGGTAGTGGCGTCCCCACCCTTGGAGGTGTTTAAGGAAAGATTGGCCGCGGCACTCGGTGCTCTGGGCTCGGTGACAAAGTGGGGATCGGTCACAGATTGGACTTGATGGTCTCAGAGGACTTTCCCAAGCTCAGTGACTCTGGGATTGTCGCCTTGGCCAGGGGTGGTTCGCTCCGGGCTCCTGCCGCAGGTGCCATTCCTGCCGCTGGCAAGTGGAGCTCGCCTGTGGTATTGCCTTTGGGAGGTTACTGCTCCTTTTCTGTTCATTGTAACCATGCTTCCAGCAGCGCTTGAAGATTGCATCTTTCTGTGTTTTTAAATGCGAAGTAATCCCAGTCTTGCCTCTTGGGCAGTATTCTTAAATCCTCCAGTGTATTGTAAAGTTCTCTCCACTTGACTCTGCTACAATTCTGCCTTGAGCTGGGATGCTAAGCCTTGTTTATTTTTAAATGTGTTGTCTTGTTTTGGTTTTTTTTTTTGTTTTGCAAATACTTCAATTTTCTTCACTTGCAGAAGTGAGCAGCCAGCTCTCCTTGCTTCAGCTGTTGTTAATGAAGGAGATTGTTTCCTCTTTTGGGTCTTTACTCAGGTGCCTGTAACTTGCACATTGCAACTTGCAAGCATGAGAGGCCAAAACTAATACTAAGTCAGCAAACCTTATGTAGCATAAAACTGGCTAGAGGTGTCTGATTTTAAGGCTTTTCCCCAAAATCTGGGTATGCTGGCTAAGTAAGCAAAGCTGGCAGGCTGTGAGGGTGGTAAGGCAGAGGCACAGAGCTGTCCCTTCCACGGACGTGTCCAAGACCAGGTTGGACAGGGCTTGGAGCAACCTGGGGTAGTGAAAGGTGCCCATGGCAGGGCTTTGGCATGAGATGGCTTTAAGATCTCTTCCAGCCCAAACTGTTCTGGAATTCTATGCTGTCTGTCTCCTCATCTCTCTGCCCACTGAAAATTGATTCTGTATAGGTATGATTAGCATGAAAGAGGAGAGCTGCTACTGTCTAATGTCTGCTGTTGCCACCTGGAGAGCTCTTGGAATGCTGTCAGCAGCTCAAGGGATCTGCTCATCTGCTCTCCTCTACACCCTGCCCTCAGCAGAACCACGAAGTTCTTCTGCATACTGATTGAGTTTTGCTAAGCACAAACAGGACCAAAGACAGACAAAACACTGTCAGAATAAGGATAGGATTTTTTTTCCTGTGCTTTTTTTATATGCTTGTGGTTTAAAACACAAGCTCCCAAGGACAGGTTTTAATCCCTGAATTGTGTTTTAAAGTGCTGTAGGAGCACGATAGAAGATTGTTTGGGAAAGAGAGCAAAGCTGAGCCTGCATTTGTGAAAGTCTCCCTTGCTGATTGCTTAATAATGCCATCTTAATCTTTGAGGAAAGATGATGCAAGGATCCATCTTCAGTACATGGAAAGTGTGTAGATTTTGGAAACAGAAATTTGTGTTAATAGCTCTGAACAAGTTTAACCATTTTTGTGTTAGCTGCGGTTTCATGAAGGAGGCATTGAAATAAATTCTGTCTTCCTGGCTGTGGTTTCATGGGAGCTTTTTATTCCCCATTTTTAGCTTTAATGTAAACCCTTCTTGCTTTCACCAAGATGTGAAATTTCTTTGGGTATGCATGTGTTTGTTACTTAAAAGGTGTAGTTTATAACTGAAGCAATGTACTGCTACTGTAAAGCTGTTCAACTTGGTTTTATAATTTAAGGCATAATTTAAGAAGTAATTTTAAGGAGTTAGTGTTTTCTTAAAATTCCACAACCGTATGAACAACCAGTGTGTTCTGAGTGTAGTGGTAACCTGCATGGTCTCTTTAACCTAGTCTGTAACAGAGGCCTGAAAAATATGCAATTTATGGATGAATTCTTGCTGCTACTTGCTGGTGTTTTCTGTCTGAAGTGACAAACTTCCCTGTCAGAGGTGGATCTTGGGCTGGCCCCTTTGAAGCCCAAATGTTCCTGTTTTTCCACAGGCTGGTGCTCCCAGGAGATCTCCCAGTCCCTCTGTGTTGAGTTCACACAAGTGCAGATTCTCATTGCTCCTCTCTGAATTTATTAGATCACATGATTAGATCACTGCAATTTGGTAGTGCTGGATGATAGCATTGGGTATATTTTTCTGGTAGAAAAATCTCTTTTCCTCTATTTGGCTGTAAGTTCATGAAGGTGCCATTGTTTTCCTCATTGTTTTCCTGTAATTGCATGCTCCTTGTATGTTTTTTGACTTTGCTTTGTGGGCTTCCACTTTCCTGCAGCTGGATGGAGAAGCAACCTGGTTTGTGCATTGCCATGAGTGACCACTGCTTTCCTGTACTTCCCTGGTACTGAAGCCACCAGGATTCAGTGATGGAGGCTTTGCTGGAAGGAATGCAGAGAAATGGGCAGGGGAGGTATGTATGCAACTGTACACAGCAGTCATTCCCAATGATTTAGGTATTGACCTTGCCTCTTACTCAGAATAAATCCTCTGGTGTAAGTGTGCAGTGGCCTTCAGCTGCTGCAGAAGTGAAGTCACTTGGGGAGCTGGCTCTGCACTAATCCCTGCTTATAGCCTTAATTGTCAGAAATTTAGTTGTACATCTTCCTGAAACCCCAGCCTCTTTTTTTGTCAATTGTTATTGTAAACTATTCTTACTGTCCAACATCAGGAGCAGTAGTAAATAGAGTTGTGAATAAATATTTATTTTGTAACAGCCTTGCAAGGTTAATGAGATGTGACTTTGTTATCTGATTTCACTGAAAACATCTGATTATTTCCTGCTTGTGTTGAAACTGCAGAGTCCCACTCAGCTCTGAATGAATCCTTAATGCTCTGTCTGAGGTGAGAGTCTCTAGACTTTTCAATCCCCGAGAGACTGTAGTGACAATAACAGAACAAAATGCTTTATGTGTTAAACAACCGTGAAGCAAAAGTCACCGATGCCATTTTCCTAGTCATCCTTGAGAATGTGACACAAATTTATTTGATACTGTATCTTCTTTAGTGAATTGGTTCAGAAATCAAGTTTAGAATTTGCTACATATTAGCAGATGCTGTGAAGGAAATGTTCCTGCTCTGCATAATAGCTGCTAATTTTTGGTTAACTCACAGGACAGGGTGAACTTCAAATGTGACTGATTTTGGCTCCTTTAAGAAGTATTTCTTTTCCTATAGAAAAAGTGCCAAGTAATGAAGTGTGCATATGCCCTGAGGGAACAGAGAAATTTCCATCCCTTAACCTATTGATTTCCATTTCTTTTCAGTTCTTCCCTTTGACAGGCAAATTAAAGGGGTAGAGATCATTATGGAGTTCACCACCCTCTAGGGCTGTGTCTGGCAAACCTTAATATTGTCCCTGTCTTGGCAGCTGGGAAGTTTTAGAGGAGTTACTTGAATTGGCTTCAATAATTACTGCACCAAATTAGAAATCTGGGCATCGCTAGGGAGCTCGTGCTCCCCGATGGATTGCGAGGGTTTGATTCTTCATTATCATGTTGTCATCCAGCCCCCTCTGCTTCAGGGTTTGTCTGCATTTGTGATCAACTTCTGTTTTTGGGAGCTCATAGCTTGGCTGTAAGATTCCTCTGGTGACTGAAACATGCTATAAAATGCCACTGCCTGGAGAGCAGTTAAGGCAATACAAAATATGAATTAAACAGGCTTTGCTTTACTTACATAATGCCTAGTATCCAAGGCAAAAGGCTGAATGCCTAAGTGTGAAGTGCTGTGGTTTGGTGGGCATGGATGGTGTTGGGTAAAAGGTTGGACTTGACTATCTTGGAGGTCTTTCCTGACCTTAATGATTCTGTGATTCTGTTCTTGTGAGCTGATTTGAAGAGTTTTGTCTGTGAGCACTGTGTGTGCAGAGTTGGTGCCTGGGTGCCAGACAGTTCTGCTACCTTTGTTGATTTGGGACACCTGACGTGTTGGGTGGAACCTGCTTTGTAACTCCAGGCTCTCTTCCCTCCAGTGGCGGATTCTTGACCTCCTGTGAGGCTGAGCTGCAGGAGCTGATGAAGCAGATAGACATCATGGTGGCTCACAAGAAATCCGAATGGGAAGAGCAGACACAGGCTTTGGAAGCTTGTCTGAGTGCTCGGGAGCAGGAACTTTCCTCTGCCAAGGCTGCTCTGCAGGAAAAACAAAAGGAGGTACCTTGGTTTCATACTCTTTTTTTGGTTGGAATCAGCAGTGTGTTTTACCTGTTAGAATCCGGAAATCAGGAATAGAATTTTTAAAGGACCTGTTGGAGCAAGGTGTCTGGTTCATAACTCAATCCAAGTCGAGTGATCCGCTCCCCTAGGGTTGGTGGAAGCTCACATATTGAACTGTTAGAGTTATTAGAGAGAACCCAGAGGCACTGGTGCTGGCTACAGCAGTAATGGACAGCCCAGCAACATGCAGTCATTGGTAGAAAAAACCCATTTGCTACTATATAGACTACACCAAGAAAACCATTTCCTACTATGAACTACACCAAGATATTGCTGGGAAACTCTCCTTGGGCTTTTTACAGAGCTCTGGTTTTGTGATCCTTAAATGAAAGCCTGAGGGAAGTGCAAAAGAAAAATTCTGTATTGG